AGCAGGTAGGCCAGGTAGAATTTACTACAGTAACTTAGGGCCACAGTGTACAGACACACACCTTTGAGCACTGCACAACCTTACTGAAATGTAAAGGCACTTCCCAGAGATGGATTAAAAGGCTGACTGTCCAAGGGAAGCCAGGGAGGTGATCTGAACTGAACAAATGTGGCTTTATTTTGAAGGTAGAGCCCACTCCACTTACTGACACAATCGCTGTAGGGACGCAAAAAAAGAATCAAAAATATTTCCAATATTGTTGGCCTGACTGACATTAGTCTAGATGGTGGATTAGGGAGCCTTTCTATTCATAGACGCTTACCACATTTCAAACAGTACACAAGGCCTCCCATGGCCCCTCCAGGTCTTATCTCCAATTACACTTTTCTCATCGACTCGTATTAAGCTCTTTGTTGTACCTTCCCTCAACAAATCCTGTGCTTCCTGGTTTCAGTGCCTTGCTCATCCTGTACAGAGGCCTAACTGGTATAACTAAAGCCTTCCTTTCCTGATCCTCTAAATTAAAACATTAGTGTTCCCCCTAACTCCTTCCTACTGCATCTCTGTAACCACATTTACCTAGTTAGGTAAAACTGCTGATTAACTACTCACAAGCGCCCACCCAACCGTCAACGCAACACGCACACCTCTCACGGTCAGAACACATGTAGGAAACTGCGACTTTTGTCTTCTCAGAATGGAGGCTCTATAATTGTGTATTCAGACAATAAGGAAGCGACACAAATTTCAAAGTCTAAGCTTCTTCCTTGCCTCCCTGGGATATATGGCTGATAAATATAAACATAAATATATATTTGGAGGACTGGTCTGGCAGAAAGGCCACCTGCTGTGTCACAAAGGCCTCGCGTGACAACCCCAAAGGGGAACAGGGCCAGTGACTCTGCTCAAGCTAAGGGTAGCTTTGGCTGACTAGTTGGAAAAACACGTGCAGGATTCCAGGTCTGCTCCCTACCCTCCTCTGGCAGGGTGCAGCCCCAGCCGTCCAGATGCTGGCTGGATGAAAGAAAGATACAGCTATGCTCTGGGCCCATCCCGGGGTCTGACCCAAGCAGCCTCTGCATGCTCCACCCCTCAAGAAGCGCGGGGTCGCCCGGGACTCATAGGCACAGCGCCTAGTTCCACGCAGCTGAGTGCTTGGCCTGTGCCACGGCTGCACAGCCAATCCCAGAGCGACAGTGTCTTCCTAGCCAATAGGAAGACGGATATCTCGGAGGCTCGGCCAGAGCCATGCTCCCATTGGCTAGGAATAGCACCGCCGCTCCTGGCGGGTCCCTACTTGGGCCAATTACCTCCCAACATCCCTCCCGCCCCTGCACCTAGGCAAATCCTTTGCTTCCCCAGCCTTGTGGCCGTTCTCTGGCTCCTCCCGGGCGGGTTCTGCCCAAAAAAGCTGACCATGGCCTGATCGCTGTTCAGCATCCTTCGCGGGGCCCCAGCACTTCCCAGACCTCTGGAAACAGCGCCCTGAAGAGGGCTCGAGAGGAGCGGAAGGACGCCAGCGGAACCTGGGAAACAGGCTGCCAGTGTCTGGAGCCCGAGACTGGAAGGCAGGACCTTCCTATTTCTTGAACTACGATGTGACCTTGGGACACCCGTTCCCCAACCTTTCTGGGATGTGCGATTCCTCCTTCAACTGGCGCCGCAGGGGACCATCATTCCCAAGGGGGCCGCGTGTTCAGGCCCTGGGCTAGGGTTGGGCACCCGCCCGACTTTGCTTCCACTGTATGGGCGGGAGTTGGGAGGGTGGAGCCGCGAGGGTGGCCGGAGAACACTTAGGGTAGAGACAAGCTCGCCTTCCTCCCGCCTTTGATCCGCCGGGCCGGCCTGTAGGCCGTGACGCACCCCCAGGGGCCAGGTGCGTGGGGCCACTCGAGGCCAAACCAGACTAAGCACAGCTGGTGTGCCGCCGCTCTGCGGAGATACAGACCCCTCTCACCCAGGCCGCATGCCAGGCTGCTGCGCCCGGAGCCAAGCAGATCCCGCTCCCCGCCCGGAGAACCCAGAGGAGGCGCTGCTGCCGCTCTCTTTGGCGCCCTTCTACCTACCCTCTCTGGCGTCCCGGTCCCTGGCACCGGGGTGTGCCCACACGCTAGGGTGCTTGCGTGGGCTGCGCCGGGCGGGGCCCGACGGCGAGACGTGGGGGCGGGGAGTCTCCGGCGCAGCCTCCTGAGCTCTCGCGAGCTGGGACGGACACGGACCCGGCCTGGGACAGCTCCTCGTTAGTTCCCCTCCGCTGCCAGGTTAATCCACCCCCACCCATCATCTGGGCCCTAAATCGAGGGCAGAGCGCCACTGACTCCTTCAAGGCCTGGGACTTGGACTGGGACTGGGCCTGGGCCGAGGGGCTGGAAGGTTTCTCTGCCCTGGACTGCAGGCGCCGAGAAGGTGCCACAGCAGAAAATGAGGCAGCCCTTCCAACGTCGAGGCTCCCCTGCACCCTTTATGATTGTTTGCTGTCTTTCAGCTCATCGGGATTGGCTGCTTGGTTTTAAATTTTATTTTGATCATTAGAAATTTATTTACAAGATTTTGCTCCTAAGGATCTTTTACAAAACTTTAAGACTAACATAGCCTCCCACAGTATCAACAATACAATGTTGACGGATAATCGGCCAGAGATGAAATTCTCCCGCCCTATTCCCCCCTAGACAGCAGTTTCCAGGAAGGAGACTGAAGAGAGAAAATAAGCAGGTCAAAATGGTGGAGGAGCTATTTTTAGGTAAATTACAGAAGGATGGAATGAAAAGGGACTAGAGAAATGAAAACAGGATGTAACTGCAGGCACAGGTGGTGGCTTTTAGTATATGTGCTGTCTGAGGTGAGTACAGGGGATGGCTTTCAAGAAACCTGTCGTGCCTATCCCAGGAGCTGCTTGAGGGCGCATGTTGTGTCTGCTTCACACCTAGCTCCTGACACATGCTGAACCTTTAAGTCTGAGAGAATTGGGGCTGCGGATTTAGCTCAGCGGCATAAGCGCCAGCCTTGCAAGCAGGCAGTTGTGAGTTCGATCCCTGGTACCGATAAAAACGAAAAAGACCAAAAAAAAAAAAAAAAAAAAAAAAAAAAGAAAGAAAAAGAAAAAAAAAGTCTGAGAGAATCATGACTTGGTTCTATGCAGCCATTTCAAGGCTCGAGGCAGGGCCCTTGGGTCAGAGATGCTATTTCAGAATAGTCACTTGGTACATCACACCACAGCCATCATGGTAAATCGCTATACTGAGTCACCAGGTGACACTTTGAAGATCTGCATAGCTGAAAAAGCAGTTAAGGCAGCAATTCATTCTTCCACCTAGGAAAACTGTAGATCCTAACTTTGGACTGAGAATCAAGTGGTAATATCTTTCCTTCTATAGAAGACAAGGGACAGTTGCCCTGTCCGTGTCTGTACCAGACAAGTGCAGTGGCTGGACTCACGTCACTGCAGCTCACCTGTGCCGCTGTGGCCAGTTGGACACAGATGTGACCAGAGAGCCTTCTCCCTCCACCGTACCCATCTCCCCCTGCTCCAGGGCTTCTCTGCCACTTCAACATCAGACCTCTGCAGCAACCCACTGTCCATCCTGATCCGTGAGTCAAGCTGGATGGAAAAGGAGCTGCCCTTCCTGGGGTGACCTCTGGCCAGCGGCACACACCCTTCCAGTCTTCTGTCCACAGTTCTAAGACACATTCTGCACACCTCCTAAAATGGTGACGCCCGGGGGCCCGTGGCAGTCACCAACTCCATCATCTCAGAAATACACCCTCCAGTTGGGTGGGGCAGTATATGCCTATAATCCCACTCTGGGAGGCTGAGGCAGGAAGACGGTGACTTCAAGCCCAGCATGGGAAATTTAATGACTTAAAGAGACCTTATCTAATAAATAGAGCTCAGTTCAAAGGCCCTGGATTTACCTCCTGGTACTGTGATAAACCAATCTTCTAAAACATGCCCTTGGGTGGCATTCCTCATCCCTCCACCCTTTCCTGTTTGACTCTTCCCAGTCCTTCACTCGTATCCTCAGCATTTATTCTGTAACTGTGCCATGATTCTCAACACTTGAATTATTAGCAATGTGAGTGGCATGTTTTGCCGTGATAACATGAAGCGTAATCTGTGTTCCACAATGCATCTTCAACCCACGTATGTGCGTTATTGGCCTGAACTTCTGAATTCCAAGTCACATAAAAACCCAAAATTCGGACACACTGAGCGAGTAGGGCTGCTGCAGGGCTACGGTCAGCCCTGGAGCTGGGCTGGGGAGCCGCAGCGCCCTCTAGCGGACAGGGCCCGCCCAGGCCTTCCCGGATCTGCCCCGCGTGGGCAGGGAGGGTTGGCCTGGAACGCCGACTGGGCTTTGTCCAGCGACGCCTGCCTCTGTCCTAACTGGGCAACTGGACTTTCATAACCGGATTCTAAGTGAAATTGGAACTCACTTCCTATGTGGCTAATGTACCTAGGCTGTAGAGTATATTCCCCGTGAGATTTGTTCGCATTCTCCTTTTTTTTTTTTTTTTGCGGTACCGGGGATTGAACTCACGACCTTGCACTTTGCAAGGCAGGCGCTTATGCCACTGAGCTAAACCCTCCAGCCCTCGCATTCTCCTTTTTAAGCATTGTGAAAAAGAAGAAAACAAAATCTCTTTAGCAATATACCATGTGATCTGTGAAAATATGCTCAATCATCTCTTTAACTACTAAAAAGCACATTTGCTCTCAGGATAAGCCACCCAGATACAAGTCTGCTCAGGCCCTGTGTCTTGGGGGGAACCCAGAATAAGCCAATGGTTAACATGAAACAGGCATTGCAGCCCGCCTTTCCCCTCTGTTCTCATCCTTTTAGAACTTTCTGGATACTATTAATGTGGACTCAGGACGGTTCAGCTTTTGTCCCTTCATTTCCCGAGCCCCTGCCTTCTATGGCACCCTAATCAACTGTCAGAGGCCAGCAGGGCTGGGGCCAGGGGAGCGTCTGGCAAAGCCCCAGCTGCCTCTCTCTTACCTCTGCGGAGCTGGCTGCTGACTCTGAACGGGTGGCTGCAGGTGCAGAGCAGAGCAGAGGGGTGGAGTGAGGTCCTTGCCAGTGTGGCCGTGCCAGGACTCTGTCTCCTCACACCAGCAGTTCCTCTCTGCCTGGAGGCAAGGCCAGGCTCTACAACACCTCTCACTTTTAACCTACATACCCAAAGCGCATTGTGCAAATCAGCAAGGCAGGTGTGCGAGGGAAATAGCCCACAGCTCAAGAAAAGCCAAGTGCATACACTAAACGAGACAATAGAGACTCTATATTTAATCTAAGAGGGGCACCCAGAAATGTAAGTCAGAGTTCTTGGGGGCTCAGAACAAGCCTCACGAAAAAAGGCCAAATCCTGAAAGATTCCTGACCAGAATGAAACACCCTCGCTGCCCCCTGCATCCTCTCAACCCCCACCACACCCCACCCTGGAAGCCGTGGTGTCTGCTGCTGCCCTCAATCAGCTCCTAACTCCCTCCGCCTCACACCAGCTCAGTTAATTATTTCCTGCCTTCTTAGGCACAGCCCTTCCCCTGCTAGAGCTGGCCCAGGTCTCCCACCACCCCAGGTGCCCAGTGTGGAACCTGGGTCGGTGCAAGTTAAACCCTGCCCTTGATCAGTGGAAGTCCTGGGGGAGAGCCTCTGTGCAGAGCTCTGGGCTACACTTGCAGGGAACAGAAAGAAGCAGAACCATCCACGCCCCCAAACTGCCGGGTTTTTGTCGGTTTTGAAGGGTGAGAAATTATACCCTTAACGTACTGAATTTTACAAGCATCAAGTAGCATTTTCTGTACTCAACAGGCAAGATAAGAAGCAGCCAAGTGCATCATTCAGAAGCTCTTGGGTCAGAGAAGTCTTGACAGTGGGTCTTAACCGAATTCTGAGATGCAGGAGAGGGGGAGGGGCCGCCCCTTCCCTGCAGTAAAGGAGCAAGGAAAACAAGCCGGACCTGAAGGGAGAGGGCAGGATCAGGCGCGCACACCCTCACCCCTGCCTCTCCCTCTTTTTAAAAAATAATTAAATTCATTGGTACATTTTAGATACAATAATGATCACACTCATCACAGGGAACGTACCCACATTTAATACATCCTGCTGCTTTTCCCTATAGCCGTCCCCTCCCTTCAACCCCTTTCTCTCTTCCTTACAGGAGCTTCAATTTCTTTTTTTCCTTCTTCTCTGGTTTTTTTCTTTTCCTTTCTTCTTCCTCCCACCTTCCCATTTGAACATTTTCTCCCTGTTTACATGTGTCTGATTTATTTCACTTAAGAATATGGTCCCATGGTGCATCCATTTACATAGAAATACCTCAAGTCTATCCTTTATGGCTGAGTAGTACTCCATTGTATTAAAAAACCCACTTTCTTTCTTTCTTTCTTTCTTTTTTTTTTGTCTTTTGTCTTTTTATCGGTACCAGGGATTGAACTCACGACTGCCTGCTTGCAAGGCAAGCACTTATGCCGCTGAGCTAAATCCCCAGCCCCCAAAAACCCACATTTTTATCCATTTATCAGTGGATTACAATCTGGGCTCCTGTCAACATGTGTGTGCGTATATCACTATGGTAAGACACTTTTAATTCTTTCGAGAATAGCTGGGTCAAAAATAACCTCTAGCTTTAGTTTTTTGAGGAATCTCCACAGTAATTTGCACAGCCTTCTGTCTCTTGACCCTAGCCCATTTCATGAAAATTATTGTTTAAGCCACACAGCATTTGTGTGTGGCGATGGGCATTCTTGAAATTTAATGTTCTTCTGTGATCACTGGGACCTTTGAAGAGGAAAGAGTATGAGGAGATGAGAAAATAAAACAACTCTGTCCCCACTTCTGCTCGTCTCACCCTAAGCGACAGCCAGCCATCGAAGGCCTGGCCTTGCCCGCTCTGCTCACAGGAACGGAGGAGGCACCTCCCAGGCACTGTGCACCGGGGACCTCAAGGATAAACCTGTGCTCAGCGACTCAGCTCGGTGCTCAGTGCTGCCCCCTAGTGTACCACACCGGTGTCTTCTGTGCCTTACTTCACCTAATCCTGCAGTGATCTGGGAGCGAGCGAAGATTCTGTTTTACAGCAGGGCAAATCAAGGCCCAGAGACACCAAATATCTTGTCCATCGTTACCCAATTAAAAACCACAGAGACAGAGCCCACCCATCTGTCTTCCTCCAAAGACTTTGCTTTAAGCGCATCATAAGTTGTCCTAAGGTTTTTCTTGGAGGAAAGAAATATATTCTGTATGTTTTCCAATCTTAGTCTTGGTGCTAGTGGGGGATAGAACCCAGGGCCTTGTGCATGCTAAGCACATGCTTCACCTCTGAGCTACAGCCTCAGCCCTAAATCCCAGCTTATAACACATTTGGAGTGAAGAATTTAAAATTTTATTTTTTAGTTTTAAATTTTGATTTATTTGCTTATTTATTTAGTAGGGGATTAAACCCCGGGCTCCCACACTGTAGGCTGGCCTTCAAATTGTGACCCTTGTGTGACCCTCCCAAGTAGCTGGGAATACAGGCCTGTGCTATCATGCTGGCTGAAGCAGGGAATTTTGTTTTACAGCCCATTGAGTACTGTTTCTATGGACAACCCAGCAGAAACTGGAATTGCTTTTGTTGCATGGAAATTTCTTGCACAGATTAAATACAGTTACTAATTTCTGATGCTCTCAATTGCCAGAAATAATTATAGGTCCTAACTGAGGAAAGTATGGGATCAGCTGCAAACAGTAGCAGGGCACACCTGTGATTTCTGCTTCCCGAGAGGCAGAGAAGCTCTCAAATTCAAGGCCGTCCTGGGCACTTCACCAAGTCCTCCTCTCAAAATTAAAAGTAAAAACAGCTGGGCTGTCGCCTAGCAGTAGAACACTTGCTTATCACTTGTGAGATCCTGGGTTCAAGCCCTACAGCCACAAAAACAGAAGCGACAAATTCAAAAGCTCACTTCTGTTATTTTTCCAAGTTTCTCGCAATGATGCATAGTATGTTTATGATTGCTTTTTTTACACAGGGACTGGGCCTGAATTTTAAAAAGGGAAATCAGATTGCAAAGCTGTAGCCTGTTTGGGGCTGTTCTCTCCAGCCCCCTCCCTGCCAGGCGTCCCTAGGTCTCAGGCTTTCCTTCTGTGACAGCCCTGAAGGTCGCCCTCCTCTCACCTGGGCCAGCAGGTACAGCCGTGCTCCCTGGGCTCTATGGACACTCAGCTTCCTCTCCAGGCAAGTGACTGGCCAGATCCCCTGGGATCCTCTGAATGCTCCATTCACAGGGTGCAAGCAACACCCTGGAGTCCCTTCTAGGCTTTCTGTGTATTCTTCCAACACTTGCTTTTAACTGGAAAGGAACGTTTTCATGTACGTGCTACAAGTGAAGGCACCTAATAAGAAAATGCATGTGTGTGTTTGCCATAGAACAGGCAAAGTTCAGCTTCGTTATTGTTTGTTTTAAGATTAAACTGCCCGCGAGTTTAACCCTGTGATACACAGAGGTTCAAGGGTAGATGCTGCCACTCGGGGAGACACTGAAAAAGGAACATGTCAAAAGGCAGCCCTGCCTTACTCCCTCCTGAGCTCACCCTGCGGTACGGTGGGGCACACATTAGCACGGGATCTGGCTCAAGCAGTCTGAGAGCCAGCCAGAGAGCTCAGATCTGGGCTTGGGCATGATATCAAATGGCCAGGGGCTTTGTACAGGTCACTTGCAAGGAGGTAGGGCTAAAACCTCAACACTCAAATCCTTGAGGTCACAGTGGGAGAAAGAAAGAGCAGGTGAAATACAGGTCCTTTGGGACACCTCTTTCCACTGTCACCCGTGTGACTAAAGCCAGGGGAAAATGACAACAGCCCAAATAAGACAGGATTATTAATAATCCAGACCAGTGTCTTCAGCAACAAAGGTGTGAGTCACCCCGTAGGTAAAGAGCCTGCCGAGGACCAAGCGAGCAGAGGAGGGGCCGGGAAGGGTACAGCTAGTTATAAATCCCTACTGTCATCACACAACGCACTGCGGCAGCAGGGCCCACGTTAGTCACGAGCGTTTCTTCCTTATTTTGCTCTTAATGTTTGGGAGCCTGTGTAGGAGTATCTTCACTTCCTTGCGTGGCTCTTACCCTTTTGTTGTGTTATGTAAGTGGTTTTTGATAGAGTTATTTCCAAAAGATGAAAAATATTAACAAAAGATGAGAAATATAAAATAAAAAGCGGCCTTTATTCTGAGAACACGGAGAGAGATGACCGGCACCCCACCGCTGGCGTCCAGCGATCTCTCCGGCGGACACGTGGCGTGGGGGCCTGTAAATAACCTCGGTTTGGGGTGGAACCTAAGGCGGGCATTAGGGATGCACAGGTAGCCCATTGGTCCTAGGTTTGGCGCCATATGTAAATTCCCAGGGGCGGGAAGATGGCGTCACAGGTAACTTCCTAGGGGCAGGGCAAGATGGGGCTTCCTGCTTCCAGTTGTGGCTTTCCTGGCTACAGTGTCCTGTCTGGGCCAAACCTTTCATATCCCGTCTTATGGTTATTATGAAAAGGGGCGAAGATTTCTCTCTTTAACTACTTCCTGCTGGCAAAGGGCGCTGTACTGGAGCCTAGGGGAGTCGACGGGATGAAGGTTGATGCCCAGGTAGACGCTGGTACCAGGTGTTTTGGCCAGGACAGCTTCACTGGTGAATGCACGTATGTCAGACTGGAAAAACAAAGAGACAAGATGTTATGAGGAGACATGGCACTGTCATATTTAAGGACCCAGGTGAGGTAGAAGGAAAGGTGCCTTTGATTTAGACATATCATTCTATCAGGACCATGTTGAGGTAGAAACATTTCCACGGTGAGGCAGAATTCTGAAAATTAAACTTGGGGTTAGGAGGAGTGGAGTTATGAGAGGTGATTACTCCCCCATCTGAAAGCATAAAAGTTAAGACAGTAGGTTGGTGAGGCTTGTCTCTGGAAGGCATGATGTTGGAGTCTGTAGGCACTACTGTTAAAGAGTCCTGCTGTAAAAATGATCATTAATAGAATGTAAGAAATTAAGAACCAAAATGGATAACAAAACATGACTTAGCCTGTTAACTGTGGCTGCGCGGCCTTTGTGAGACGGAGACGGGTAGGCGACAGAAGATGAGATGACCACTCAGAATGATCAGATTTAGGGCTGGAAGGG